ATGCTATGCAAATAAGTCTTAGAGAAGCAAGGCAACAGACCGTGTCATTTATTTCCAAACATGTTAAAAATCGAATTTACAGCCTAAATGCAATTAAACACAATAAATGACATAGAGTGTGGGGGTGTTACAATTGTGCCACAATATATCGCAATACAAAAATGCAACAATACGTATCGTGGATAGTGACAATAAGTATCTTGGTTAAGTCCCCCCAAAATAAAAATTACTGTGTGAGAAAAAATTCAAATTTTCATCGTTTTAGTGTAAGTACTACATTGAACTACTATACAGTGGTGGAGGAAGTACTGAATCTCAGTACTTAAGTAAAAGTACAAATAACCAGATAAATATTTACTTTAGTAAAAGTAGAAGTAACACAATGACAACCATACTTAAGTAAAAAGTACCTGATTTTAAATGTACTTTAAGTATTAAAAGTAAAAGTACTTGCATAACAATTGATTCTCTTAATGACTTTTCTAATGATTAATAAAACATTTAATTCTAACTCGTTCAACCTAATACTCCTATAATGATGTTCAATAATGATGGAAAAAAAATGTCACCATTTCTGAAACAAGCTTGCAATTAGGCAATATAAACCATGCTTATCCTTACTAACTTATATGTTTATAACTATTGGCAGTAAACGCGATTCATTTATGGTGTAATTCTGAACCTCTTGGCTTGCCTTAATCCTAACCAAACGTATATTACACACAGTGTGTTTCCTATGCACGTAAAAACAAATTTTCGCGTATAAATTGCACGATAAACACACTGCATGCGAGACGCATTTAGTTGATGTATCTATGGCAACCAAACGTCACTGGTGTGACAAACGTGCAACGAACGGACGGTCAGATTACGTTTTGGCAGGGGAAAAGCTGATCAGAAAATGTAATGAAAATGTAACAGAAGTTGTAGAAATGTAGTGGAGTAGAAAGTATAATAATTGCTGCAAAATGTAACGAAGTAAAAGTAAAAAGTATGCACTATAAATACATGAAAAATGTACTTAAGTAAAGTAACAAAGTATTTGTACTTCGTTACATTCCACCACTGCTACTATATATAATGTCGATTATAATGCATACTAATGTAATGGGGGGAATATGTGTGGGTCCTGATAATGCCAAATGCCTGATGTTACCAGTAAAAATATATCTAGTCATCTACAATAACTCAGTAATTTCAGCTTCAGAATCATGAATATTTTTAATCTGTGTCACCATTGTTCTTGAGTTACAAACACAAAGTCCAAGCCTATTCATTTAAACCTACAATGTAATATCAAATTTAGCAATTTAATCAATGGTACATTTTTTGTTAACATTTTGCCATATGTATCGCAATTATATCGTATTCTGAGTTCAGTATCGTGATATGTATCGAACCGTGACATGAGACCCCTAATAGAGTGGACAAATTAAATAAGCTAGTGAGACTGTTAGGATGTTGAAGAAACAAAAGGAAATGGGACCCCTATAATGACATTTGGCTAACAGTGTCATATGTCTAATCATCCGGAACGAAGTATCATCCTGAAGTTCAGGAGGAGCCGAGTTTTTAATGCCTCAGTACCGTATTCCCCGGAGCTAGAGTTAAAGATCCTCTCGCTACTCAAAGATGTCCATTCTATTTATGTCAACCGTGGTGCCTAATGACGAGTACTGCAAAATGAACTTGGATCTAAAGAATGAGGGAAAACGGATATAACTCTGCAGGGAAATGCAGCATGTGGAACCACACCGGGCTGAATTCCCCGCTCACAGACAAACATTAGCTCAGAGTCTAGACGCTGTGTTTCTGCCTCAGATGGAGGGATCCCCAGAAGGCATCATAATAGAGAATAAGTTGTTCGTGAGAAGACATGGCTGATTGCTTTTGTTGTCCTCTTCATTTTTTAATTATCAGTCTTCCTTTTGTTCTGTGTCCTATCGTCATCCAGCGGGCTGGTATTATCAGCTACTCCACTTCTGCAGGGACTTCTTTTGACAAAAAGCTTCACTCCTCCATGTCCCGCTCCCTGCCATGCAGTCTTGAACATTATCGCTCTCAGCTGCGAGACCATATTCACCATGCCCTTTGTCTCAAAGCCTCAGTGATTTATCCCTATTTGTTTATTGATGTTTGTGTGGATGGTTTAAATTATCCTCTTTCTAACATTTAAAAAGGTTGCATTTTACAAGTTTTTTTTTTTTTTTTTACTATTACAGGTATGCTGTGAATGAGCTGTATTATGGTACACACATCAGCTCAGCTTTCTTTGCTCACTGGGTTATTGAAACTGTTAATATCAAGAAAAATGTTACACACTTTACTCATCTACTGGAGAAAGTGGGGTTAATTGTGACGCTCTCATCAAAGACAAATAAGCTAATAAATCTAATACATCTAATTATACTGCAAGATATAAACTCTCAACTTTGAATAGAATAATGTATTGTATATGGATCCATGGATATTGACATAAAGACAGGAATCGTGTTGCTTGATATTTATGTTTGCCTGATTTTGACACTGAGAAAATAAAAGCAATATAGACAAACATAAAGAAAATTTGCCTGTGAATGCTTTATATAAATACAATATAGGTAGGTCTACATAATAAAATAATATGCTTTATCTAATCAATAAAATTGTGGCAACATATTACAAGCAATATTATAAATTAAATTGTACAAATTAGAATTAATTAGAATATTAATTTGATTAACTATTACTCAATTCTAATTTATTCAGTTTAATGAATAATATTGTTTGTAATCTGTTGCCACAATTTTATTGATTAGATAAAGCATATTCATTTTTTACAGTGTAAATCCGGGTGATCACTTATATCAGTGTTATATATAGCTTATATACATCATCATGTCCAGCTATAATTTTTTTTTTTTTTTTTTGGTCTGTGTTTATTAAAAAAAAAAAAAAAATCCAATAATGCAGAATATGCAATTATAAATATTTAATTGATGAGTTGTTAATATAAATAACAATACAAAATATATGGGTATGGTTTTATGCTAAATTCAGCATATTCACACAAAATGATAACTGCAAATCCACCTTTTGCTGACCGATTTTTTATTTTTTTTGTCAAATCTAGTTGTACAGTCAATCGCAAAGCTCTTTCCCGCTTTATATGTGTTGAGTTTGTTTTTCGCGGCATTCTCGCTAACAACAAATACAGCCGCTCAGTCTTTTTGCCAATCACTGTGAGTAACTGCAGGCACTCCGGCCGACGGTGACGTCACGTGCTTTCCTTCTAGTATTGCGCCATGGAATAATGAAGCTACTTCAGACCAACCCCTTTTAGATTTGCATTAAGTGCAAGAGTCATTTATCCCACCAAAGACCCGCCCACAAAGTTACTTGCGCCAAAATAGGTCCCTTGGAGATAAAAATGCTTCTTTGAATAGTTTGTGTTATTTTTAGCCAAATAATTTAAATGTGATAAATAATTATTTAAATGGCATTTATCTGTACACATGGTTAAAATTATTTTCACATAAAATGGATGTTTACCACGTGATGCCATGCCTTATTTGTTCTCAAGAAGGTGTTAGTATGTAGTGATGGTCACATTTGATTGGCTTGCTGGGAGCAGCATTTGCATCATAATCCCTCAATGAGTCAGCTGAGCATTGTCCTTCCCACAGCGTTGTCAGTCATGATCATACACACCATAACCGTAATGCTACAGGACACGGTGGGATACAGGCGAGGTGGGCAGCACACAACCGTTAAGGGGGTGAATTGAGAAAAATAAAGGTTCAGAGGATGTATAAGAGGATGAAATCTTGTTCACTGGTGGTGTGACCTATCAAACTGCTGGCACTTCACCCATGGCACTCTTAGTTGTGGAGTGTGTTTACCATAGGACTGAATGCAATTTGCATTTATATAAGCTTTTTCATTAGGAGTTATTCTCGGAGCACTCTCCAAAAACATTATGAATTTGGTGGAAATGTGGCAGCCAATTTGAAATGGGAAGCTAGACAGCGAATTTTGTTTATTTTATTTATATTTTTTGCAGTATTCCTTTTTCTGTGTACAAGTAATAAACCTTCATATTTAATTGCTCACCTTTCGATAACTCTTACTTTTCTCCTTTTGTATCAGAAATTCTGCAGTCTTGTTTTCATCTGGGAGAAGAATGAGAAATAGGCACATTTGAATCTTCATTTTCACAAATCATTTTTTAAAATTATTTATTTGTTTTCTACAACTGCAGAGAGAGTTTTTCTTTTGTCTGTTTACTAGGGAGAATTATCTGAGAATGACTGATTTCCAAAAATAGTTTGAAATGTCTGGTGTAATAACTAGTGTTCCATCCATCCATCCATCCATCCATCCATCCATATATCCATCTATCCATCCATCCATCCATTCATCCATCCATCTATCCATCCATCCATCCATCCATCCATCCATCCATCCATCCATCCATCCATCCATCCATATATCCATCTATCCATCCATCCATATATCCATCCATCCATCCATCCATCCATCCATCCATCCATCCATCCATCCATTCATCCATCCATCTATCCATCCATCTATCCATCCAACTATCTATCTATCTATCTATCTATCTATCTATCTATCTATCTATCTATCTATCTATCTATCTATCTATCTGTCTGTCTGTCTGTCTGTCTGTCTGTCTGTCTGTCTGTCTGTCTGTCTGTCTGTCTGTCTGTCTGTCTGTCTGTCTGTCTGTCTGTCTGTCTGTCTGTCTGTCTGTCTGTCTGTCTGTGTGTCTGTCTGTCTGTCTGTCTCTCTGTCTGTCTGTCCATCTATCCATCCATCTATCCATACATCCATCCATCCTGATTTAAAAATTAAGAATACTGGAATATTTTTTTTTTTTCTTGAACTAGGTCTAAAATGTATACTATATATGATTAGATGATAAATGAGAGTATTATTGCTTCACTACAGTTCTCACCAAGTTTAGAAATCTGACTGGGATTCTTCACTGTGTGCAGGTGATCAAGCTGAATTTTGAGGAGTTTGACTTGGAGCGGGGCTACGACACTCTAACCGTGGGTGACGGCGCTGTAATCGGCGATCAGCGGACAGTCTTTCATGTGTGAGTACTTTTGTTCATCTTTTGCTTTCTTCTCCATCCTCTCTCAAACTCCTCCCAGGCTGTGTCTCCCACTCTTTAAGTCTCCTCTCTGTGTATAAACCTCCTCCCCATCTTCTTTCATCTCTACTCGTTCTCTCTTCCTTCAGCCGTTCTCTCCTCCTCTGCCGTTTCTTCCTCCACCCCCCCTCTATTTCATCTCGTTTCATCACCCCTCAGAGCAGAACTGTATGGTAAAAACACCCCAAGCTTTATTGTCAATCACCATGAGTCTCAATGTTAGAACAAGATCACTCCTGCTGCAAAAAGCGCATCACACGTCGATGCCCCATAATGCAGATTTGCACACCAGATGCTCCGGAAACGTTGCTGAGTGTGTTGTTATTAATTGTGCTGAAATTTATGGTCTTCATAAAGTTTTATCGATGCCGTTTTATGTGCGCTCTCTGGCAGGGGGTGTACAAGTGCTTGTGTTCCTTTTGAATGGCCCTGTGTCCCTGGACACTTTCTCTCTGGATACTCAGAGTCCCCTGATGGTCTAATGTGCTTAATTATCAGGTCTCATAAGCCCTTATGGACCCATTCCACAGATCCCTGAAGGATAGTGCTGGGGGAATTGGGGAACTCCCAATGTTCTCTGAGATGTGTCAAATGAGACTGTACATATTGAAAGTGAAGAATCGACGTTTTATTATAATGTCTGTCTCTCTTATTTTGATTTGAAGGTTGTCTGGGACTACAACTCCAGATCTGGTGGTCAGTACCAGCCATCAGATGTGGCTCAATTTTAAAACGGATGACACGAGTGGCTCCCTGGGCTTTAAGGTTTCTTATGAAGGTAATTAGAGGAAACTCGATGCTCTAAACTATAATGTTAAGCTAAGCTGTAATTACATTTGTGTTATTGTTATTTTTAATATTGTGATAACAATAATAATTTTGCAATTTTGGTAATCACTAGTTATCTTATTTTTTGTTCTTTATTATTTTAGTTTTAATTTTCATTTATTTTAATCATGATAGTAATTTTGGTAATTTATTATGTTCACTGTAAAAAAAGAATATGTTCATGATTTGTAATCACGACATTTTATCTTTTGTCAAATCAACTTAATTAATGTGGTTCAGATAACCAACGCATTCTCACCCCAAGGCGTCACCTTTGACCATGCTTCAATATTTGACGTTTTAGGCGCCCTTTAGCGTCACTTACATGACGCGATCCTACGGCGTCATCTAACTGACGCTAAAGGAAAGTGTCTGTTAGAGCAGTGTTTCCCAACCCTGTTCCTGGCGGCACACCAACACTGCGTGTTTTCTTTGTCTCCCTAATCAAACACACCCGATTCAACCCATCAGCTCATTAACCCACCTGATTATGAGCTGATGGGTTGAATCAGGTGTGTTTGATAAGGGAGACAAAGAATACACGCAGTGTTGGTGTGCCGCCAGGAACAGGGTTGGGAAACACTGTGTTAGAGGACGCGGTTAGGTTTAGGTGTGGGTGGGGGTAGGGTACACGCGATCCTAGGGCGTCATCTAACTGACGCTAAAGGGCGCCTAAAGCGTCAGATATTGAAGCATGTCCAAATGCTTCCCAAGGCGTCAGTTAAGTGACGCCTTGGGGGTGAGAATGGGCTGAGATAACATAATATTTTGAGTTTCTGATTAAATCAATCTCCTTCATTGTATTAACTCAATTTTTCCATTTCAATGAACTTTTTAAGGCAACCAGGTTACTTCATGTTTTAACCCATAAGAACCCGGACCAATTTCCCCTTTTAGGAAAATTATGGGGCATATAAAACATACTAAATGGACCACTTAAAACATGTTTCTGCTGTTGTTTTTTTTAAATACAACCACTCCTTGTCAAAGATCTGTAATGTGTCATATATGTCACATTGGGCGTTTATGCAACTTTTTTTATGTGACATATATGACACATTGGGCTTTTATGTCTCATTTGGAAAAAAAAATAATATTTTTTCAGTTTTCTTGCTAAATACATTTTTTTTTTGTTTATTTTCTTTTCCACAACATTTTTAAAATAATAACTTTTCTGGGAAGATAAATAAAACAAAAAAACACATAACTGTGACCAAAACTGTGACCTTTTCAGGTATACGGTTTAATCAGAAATAATTTTTTAGATTATTATTTCACAACTCGAAAATGTGCAAACTGAATAAAAATAAATAACTACCTCACACTGGAGGTCAACATGTTGAACATGCATGTAGTGCAATAACATTGCAAAATTCTACCTTTCTGATGATTAAATCAATCTCCTTCATTGTATTAACTCACTTTTTCCAGTTCAATCAACTTAAAATTGTAAGGCAACCCAAGTTACTTACTTTTTTAAGTTAAACCAACAACATTTTTTACAGTGTAGTAATCACAACATTTTTTATTTTGTCAAATCAACTTAAATAATTTATTTAGTTCAAATAACATATAATTTTGAGTTTCTGATGATTAAATCATTCTCCTTCATTCTATTAACTCACTTTTTCCAGTTCAATGAACTTAAAGTTTTAAGGCAACCGGGTTACTTACACTGTAAAAAAAAAAATGTTGGTTTAACTTAAAGTAAGTAACCTGGGTTGCCTTAAAATTTTAAGTTGATTGAACTGGAAAAAGTGAGTTAATACAATGAAGGAGATTAATTTAACCATCAGAAACTCAAAATAATAAGTTATCTCAACTTAATAAATCATTATAAAGTTGATTTGACAAAAGAAAATATGTTGTGATAACAAATCTTGAAAATATTTTTTACAGTGTACTTTTTAAGTTATACCATCAATATTTTTTTTACAGTGCATTTTTTTTTTTTACAGTGCAAGCAATAATGCCTCCTATGATCAGATTGGGTGGACATGCAAATACTTTGAATACTTATTTGTTCTTACATTGTTCATAACTGCATGTAATGTTCATGTTAAAGGTGAAATGTTATAATGAGGTCATTGGAAAAAGTTCACATACAAATAGCTGGTCAAATCTTGGACCATATGATTTCCTTTGAGAAAAATTCTCAATTTTCTTCTAGCTTTCTGCTTCGGGTCACTCTTGGGGTATCTGCTGAGAGTACGGGAACAGCGTGTTCTTTTTTAAAAAATTCCTTTCACTTTCTATTTCTCGCTTCACCATTATAGCTTTTGCACTCGTGGCGAGGGTCCTCAAAGCAGCTTGTGATCGTTTAACCTTGCTGGAATGAGGGCCATGGGATAGGAAGGATATCATGCAAGAGCGGCTATTTTCAGTTTCAGAGTGTATGTCTGATTGAAAACGAGAACATTAGAACTTTCATACTGGCCCTCTTTCAGAATTGCACCACACATGGTGGACTTAGGCACATTTTATGAATTGCGTACGAATATTTGCTGTCAGATCCACAATAAGCCCCCAGCCTCCAGGTTTGTTATGCTTTTATCCACTGCAGAAGCATAAGACGAAAGTGGAGCAGTATTCATACCCCCCAACATGATTAAAACAATAAGAGACATTTAATGAAGTTGAGAATTCTCTTTGAACCTCTGCCTCCCGCTGTAGGGAAATGATGCACCCCTAAATTATTGCATCTAATATTATACAATTTTCAAGCATAATTGTTCAGAAACTCAATGCAGACAGTGCTGTTTTTTAAGCTAGACCAATGCATAAGTATGATCCATGCTTAAGTACATGATATAGTAATAAATTAATCAAAACTTGACCTTATGGAAGTCCACATGTCAGCTTTTGAGACAGTTTTTTTGTCACCAAGCAGAAGATGGCTGTAACAAAGTGTTAGCTGGGACACTTAAGGAATCACGCATACAAACATTCCCTCAGGGATGACTTGCTGCGTAACATTTGTCAGCTCAGGAGACACTTTCTAACACGATCTTGTTGCCTTAACTGGTTGATATGTCCAGAAGTAAACTGAGGGTGTAATTCCCAAGATACAGGATAGAGATTCAGTCCAGGTAGAGACCTGTCACATGTCTAAAATCTGAAAAATGCTGCCTTTTCAGACAGCATGTGGAGGTGGGAATGCATCGAGGCACATCTGTTTATACATCATCATCTCTGACCGATATGAAAAAGGTTCATTGGGGTTCTATATAGAATCAATCTTGACTCAATTCTAAAGAACACTTTCTCCCAAAGGGTTATATATAAGAAGAAATGTCTTAAATGATTACATAATACTTTTATGTTTAATAGTGTTGTCTAGTAATGAATTAGACCTATGCTAGCTGCTTAGTTCATAAAATTGTATTGAAATAAAACAAATAAGACTAAATCCATAAAATGATCCCATGATATCTGAAGTGCCTTACAGAATCCTTTAAAGAACCTTTTATTCTAAGAGTGTACAAATCAGTCTCATGATTTTTTTAAAGCAAATATTTGCATGTGCTATACTTTTTAATTCATATTAAAGCATTATAGAGTTATACATGCTAACGGCAAACTGTAAAGTGCATTTGAGATGTTTCCCATTAAATATTGTTTGCTAATGGTTTTTCTGTAAGCTATCAAAAAACTATAGTACTCGTACTCTCAGATCCATTTATCATATTGCACCATGCACTGTATGTCAAATCAGCAGAAAACACATTTTTCAATAATCAAAACCACAATGTGAAAAACAAGTTCTGACTATAGGTAGATCTCACGAGATCTCTTGTTCGCCTGTAGCACTCTCTCTGCCTCTCTCTCAGTAGTCCTGTCTTTCTTTCGCTTTGGCCTTGTGATTCTAAATGAGCCCTGACATATTGAGACAGGTGAGGGTATAAGGGAACAGAGTGAAAAAAAAGACAATTCATTAGGAGAGCAAGCCATTTGCAGATGCCATTGGGGCAACATTGAAGGTAATTTGCATTAATATGCTTTGCTGTCAGCTGATATAAGAAGTTTAAGGCGTATATGCAGTATGTAAGTGTGAGTGTGAACTGTAATTGGAATCAGCAACACACTATATATATATATATATATATATATATATATATATATAAAATTATGTTCTTTTGAACTTTCTATTCATTCAAGTATCCTGACAAATTAACAGTTCCTAATATTAAAAAAATATTAAGCAGCACCCATTTGTTTGATTATTTTGATAACATTAATACATGTTTCTTGATCAACCAATCAAATTATTTTAATGATTTCTGAAGGATCACGTGACACTAAAGACTAGAGTATTGAAAATCAAAATAATCAAACAAATGGGTGCTGCTTAATATTTTTATATTAGGAACAGTTAATTTGTCAGGATACTTTAATGAATAGAAAGTTCAAAAGAACATAATTTATAATATATATGTATATATATATATATATATATATATATATATATAAATTAACTGTTCCTAATATAAAAACATTAAACAGCACACATTTTTTTTGATTATTTTGATAACAATAATACATGTTTCTTGATCAACCAATCAACATATTTTAATGATTTCTGAAGGATCATGTGACACTAAAGACTATAGTATTGAAAATCAAAATTCAGTATTGACATCACAGGAATACATTCTTTCAAAAATGTGTTAAATTAGAAAAGAGTAATTTTTAAAGTGCAATAATATTTTACAATATCACTGTTTTTATTGTATCTTTGATACATTCATTAAGTAATTATTATTTATCTGGGTATACTTATTAGAGGATTTTTTTTTATTATTGTAGAGAGAGACAATTTACTTTAAAGAGAGATGAGCAAAGTAAATCTGAATAAATGATTAAATAATTTATAAGTATAAGCAACAAAAATTGGGATACAGAGACAATAACTTTACAAGTGACCTTACTTTCCCATTCCAAAACCTTGATGGAAACTTTATTGATTAATCCTGTCCCAATGTAAATGCTATGTCTTTTTTCTTTTCTATTTTCCTTTCAGAAATTGACCAGGGTGGGTGTGGAGACCCTGGAATCCCAGCCTATGGCAAGAGGGAAGGCACAGGCTTCCGACATGGAGACAAACTTTATTTTGAGTGCCTTCCAGCCTTTGAGCTGGTGGGGAAAAAGAACATTACCTGCCAAAAAAATAATCAGTGGTCAGCCAAGAAGCCAAGCTGTGTGTGTAAGTGACAACCCTTACCCAAAAAATACATTCCACACCCACATGATCACATCTGGGAGGTTGGTGGGTATTACTATCTGAGCATGTTAGAAAGTGAATCTAATGGCAGTGTCTTTAGTAAAGTATGTCCCCATCGATGCATCCTCTCAGTGGCCGAGCCAAGCCAATGTGACACTTCATTTAATGCATTTAGTTGCTTTATTTAGTGTATCAGGGTCTTATAATGAAGTTAGCGGATTTAACCGAACTGAAGAAAGCTAATTTGAGAATGCAAGCAGTTGATGTACTTCCTTGCTTCCGAAAGAGAAAGCTGTTTGTGGCATTTAAATGCTTGAATTGAGTGTCACGGCATATAATGTTGTTTGGCAGTTAATGCGTGTCCAACTTGTTTTGATATTAATGTTCTTTCTCTATTATTTGGATTCATGTTATACCGTCAATTTGCCTCAGCCTGTAGTCGTTTGTCACTATAATGGCTACCATCTTATTACATCAATTTAAATGCAGTTGACTCACAACTTTGTTTTTTTGCTGTTTTATGCCATTGTTATTAGCTCAGACTGCAAAGTCATTCATATGAGGTGGAACCGTAACAATCCTTCTTCAGTCCACCACTGAGCTCATTTTCATTCTCCCCATGGCTATTTCATTCCAACGCGTTCTCATCCTTTAACGTCATATAGAACGCTATATGACAAAACGGCGCTATACTACGCGCATGGCACACGTTATCGTTAATATAACACGCGCTGTGAGGGCTAAGTTTAGGTGTGGGGTAGGGTGTGCGTGTCACATTCACGCTAAAGGATTTATAACGTCTTGGGTTCGCGTGTTATATTAACGATAAAGGGTGCCATATGCGTAGTATAGCGCCGTTTTTGCATATAGCGTTCTATATGACGTTAAAGGATGAGAACGGGCTGTTCATTCCCCCTTCAGGTTTGTCTCAAATCCTGAAAATAAGTTATCCCAGCAGATAATCACTTAAACGTATTTCCCGGCAACATCTTCAACCATTATCTTTTGCATTAGGCACAATCACAATATACACACTAAGGAGTCATATACCTAATATATAAAACAATGTGCTATTATTTTATCCCTTCACTTGTTGCGCTTTGCAGGTTACATGTGTATGGAAAACACTGAAGTTCTTTATGAAGGTATAGGCCCTGTGGGGGAGGGGATTCAAGTTAAGTGTGTATCGGTATCGGCAAAAAAAAAAAAAAAAAAATGTTGCAAAATATGTATGCTAGTACGTAATAAACACGCAGAACCAGTTTGGCACTTGCTTGCGGCCGGAGCAAAATTGGCATTTTGTACAGCGTTGGAAGCGTTACATTATATGATCCCACTCTTATTCATGCAAATGCTTTTTAACCATTCAAGAGCGACAAAACAAAAGGGAACGCGCTGCCTGTGAATGTCTCAATTCACACACAAACACACGAAGCACAGAAAGACGGGTGGTAGTATCGTGGGCACAGCGCACCAAAAAACGGTTCTCTTTCGCGCTTGAATGAACAGTAGAGTTACATAAGAGCAGTCTTAAATGAGTTAAAGTAAGTCTTAAATTAATGAAAAGAGTTGAGAAAATGAGATGTGTGTGAGATCTGCGTCTCTGTCAGCAGCGGCAGATTTTAAAGGGACAGCAACCAATAAAGTATACTACAGGTAATCAAAGAACAAAGGTAACCTAATAAATGTAAAAAGAAATTGTTAGCTTGCTATACAGTTACACTGTAATGTTGAATGACTGTAATTAATGTTTAAAATTAGGGGGAGAAATATATATATATATATATATATACTGTATATATATATATGAAGTTCAGATGCAAAAGTCTCTAAATGCCATTTGAAATTTTCTTCTTTAATGATGATTTTTATCAAACTTGTATATTTAAGTTCAGTGATTTCACTTAATTGGCAATGATTTGTAATTTAAGTGAAATTACTGAACTTAAATATACAAGTTTGATAAAAATCATCATTAAAGAAGAACATTTCAAATGGCATTTAGAGGCTTTTGCATCTGAACTCTTCATATATATATATATATATATATTATTTATTTATTTATTTATTTATTTATTTTTATCCAGACATCAATATCTGTATTAGTATCAGTGATACTGGTCTTCATTCATAAAAAAAAAAAAAAAAAAAAAAAAAGAAAAGAAAAGATGCCATTAAACAAGTATTTAACATATATGTTATCTCTACAATCATTTGTGATTAACTGTGAAATTGTAAAAATATATAAACTATTATAAACCTATAAAAATGTAAGTGTTTTAATTGCGATTAATCAGAGAACAAATGTGTGTTTTTTTTTTTTTTTATTAACAGCACTGTAACATATGTATGTACAAAAATGGCATTAAAAAAGGCATTAAAACATTCAATTTAATTGGAAGAGACCTGCAGAAATCCTGTCCTGTATCGCTGCATTGTTTAAGCAGCAACAAATGACCTGCCTATGCATTGTGAATTGATTTTAGCTTTAGTGGCGGTTTTAATCTCCAGTTTTCCTTGCAGCTTGATGTACAACACCGGTGCTTAACAGTCGCTTGTTTTATCTCTTTGTCCCTTTCTCAGTTTCATGTTTCTTCAACTTCACAACTCCATCTGGGGTCTTGCTATCACCAAACTACCCTCAAGAGTACGGAAACAACATGCACTGTGTGTGGCTGATCATCGCCAAACCCGAGAGCCGCATCAATTTAGCCTTCAACGACCTGAGCATGGAGAAGCAGTTCGACTTTCTGTCCATTAAAGATGGCGGCAAGGCAGAGTCGCCAATTCTTGGCACCTTTTCTGGAGATGTGCTGCCGTCACCCATCACTACCAGCGGCCACGTGGCCCGACTGGAATTTCTGACTGATCATACGTATACAGACCGTGGCTTCAACATCACTTTCACCAGTACGTTTTAAAGACACCTCTATATTCGTGACTTTCGTTTTTAGTTTTGTGGTAAAAATAAATCATTTATTCAAGTTATTCTGGGTAAACCTGTTTGAGTCTAACATCACATTGAAGTTGGAGATTTTTAGATGTATAATAGATAATAGATAGGTTTTGTCAGTGATAATATGCGCTAAATTTAAAAAGGTTCTGGAAGTTAAAAGAGTTCACAAGTTGTTTTGTTACATGAGATGGATAAAGTTTTATTTTTTCCCCTCTAGGGAGAATTGTCTGTATATCTGTCGTCCTTCAGTAATCACTGTTCACGGGGCATAGCGTATGGCAGTGGATTTGATAGATGCTTGAGTATCCTTGTGAGGAAGAACAATAAGAGCCACAGATTTAATTGGAATTTATTTCCAAATACATTATATAATTAAATAAAGTCACAGTTAATTGAAGCTGTCGGGAGGTGATCCCACATGATTTGACTCCCCATGTGCCGTGTTTTTTGGGGGAGTGGGAGGGACGCTCCAATTATTCATGTTAATTAAGGAGATGACAAACTCCATCGAACGGCTTGTTGGCACATGATGGTGATGGATCACACACACAATCTTGGTTTGAGATCTTCTTGAGTCAACAAGTTTATTACCAAGAATGAATTCCCATTGTCTGACTGGAAACACAATGAGAACAATAATACGTTTTACAGTACGTTGAGCATTAATGTCTTTGACATTGTCAGTCGATGGCATTGGGATACGTTTGGCAGACTCCTTTATCCAAAAGGATACATTTTGTCTTTCTTCATGATCTCAGGAATCAAACCCTTGACCTTGGTGGTGTTAGAGCCACGCTGTAGCAGGAATGAACAGATTTGTGGGAGAGATTCTGTCTGCTGATAATAGATCTTCTCTGAAGTCCTATCGATAAGTACAGAGTCGCTCCAAACTTTTCACTGAAGCAAGAAACTTAGGAAGCCACATGAATTAATATTTTGTTCTAAGTAAAATTAATTAGTGTAGTTATACAGCAGAAACGATGCGTCACAGTGTTTTCAGTTCAATTGGCATATTGAGAACTCCCTCTTTAATTTATTTGAGGCCTAGTAAAAGTTTTTTTTTTTTTTTTTATAACAAAATGTGGACTAGAGCCAGACCGATTTATCGGCAGGCCGATATTATCGGCCGATATTAGGTATTTTCCAAACTATCGGTATCGGCAGTTGTAATAGCCGATAAATGAATATTTCAAAAATAAAGTAAAAATGGACAAAACACGCTTCAACCATGTCATGAGTGTTGGAGTTGTATAGTTTTTCCACCAGAGGGCACTCTACAACGTCCCTGTTGGCAACACTCGTGTATAACGATCCAGGTTGCAGGTAGCTTATAAGGCAAAGTAGGGACTAATTATTATTTTATTTAGCAGAACTTTAATATATTTTGATGTTCCTCTGTTCTGTTAAAAGCAAGCAAGAAGAAGCAAGTTTCTTGAAAAAAAAAATGCATTATCATATTATTTGAATTAAAACTCATAAATAACTACAAATAACTAAAGTTAGGGAAATCTGTTAAAGGGATACTCCACTTTTTTTTGGAAATAGGCTCATTTTACAACTCCCCCAGAGTTAAGCAGTTGGGTTTTACCGTTTTCGAATGTATTCAGCCGATTTTTTTATATTTAGAATAATATCAGTAACCAGACAGTTTCTGGTCTCATTGACTTCCAAAGTATATTTTTTTCCTACTATAGAAAGTCAATAAGACCAGAAACTGTCTGGTTACTGATATTCTTCTAAATATTAGAAAATCGGCTGAATGGATTTGAAAATGGTAAAAACTCAACTGTTCAACTCTGGGGGAGTGGTAAAATGAGCCTATTTCCAAAAAAAAAGTGGAGTATCCCTTTAATTTTTTGTTGTGCGTTTCTGGAAAAAATAAAATAAAATATCGGCCGATATATCGGAATTTCGGATTTTAAAACCAACAAATATTTGTATCGGTATTGGCCTTCAAAATCCTTTATCGGTCGGGCTCTAATGTGGACATTGGACGGGGAAAAAAAATACAAAATAAATAAATAAATAATAAAATATATATATATATATCTCAAATGTTCCAGTTAAATACAAATGTGTATTATCTGTTGTTGCTGTGCCCAGTTTTTTTGCCCATTTAGGTTCAAGTTAGCATGCACTTCTCTTCCATATTTCATAGTTTTTCTCCCCTCTGCAGCGTTTCGACACAATGAATGTCCTGACCCTGGCGTACCTGTAAATGGAAAGAGATTTGGTGAGAGTCTACAGCTTGGCAGCTCCATCTCTTTCCTGTGTGAGGAGGGGTTCATAAAGACCCACGGATCTCAGACTATCTCCTGCATTCTCAAAGATGGAAATGTTGTGTGGGACAACGCTGTGCCACGTTGTGAAGGTCTGTCCTCTCTCTAATCTATATAAATATGCACATTTCATAATTCACAAGTTTGCTTGTAACAAAACCGAAATGTGATACTCCATCACCGTTTGCACTTTACCGAACCCTTCGGAAGTTTATTCAATTTGATTTTTTTCTTAAAGTGCATGCAGAGATCAACTGAAATGTCAGTGGAACCAAAATTATATAATCTTTATTTTCTGTATATACTCAAGAACTATCAACTGGATTCTTACAAGAAAAGAAAAAAAAAAAAAACATCCTTTAATGAAATTTGCTGCTGCATGCAACAAATCATTTTATGACATTCGTCAAGCAATGCTTTTTATAGATGTCCTTCAGTACACTGAGTCAAGCGATGAGATCATCCACTTCCCATTGAACACATTCTGTTTCCAGATTTTACATTTTCGGAAAAAAACACTCACTGACGTTTTTGTTTTGTGTATTTAATTAACCAGACTTATCCAATATCACTAAGGCTATCAAGTTTATTTGTCCTTTTAAGTCATTTGTAGATAGTATATTAGGGAAAGTATAAAAAATGTGTCTTTAGTCAATTGAACAATAAAATAACAATTCTGAATCTTTCTCTGTGTGTCATCTTCTCCTGTTCTTTAGCCCCATGTGGTGGAAACCTAAAGGCTTCCAGTGGCATTATTCTGTCCCCGGGGTGGCCTGAGCTTTATAAAGAGGCCCTCAATTGTGAGTGGATCATCGAGGCCCTGCCGGGATATCCTATTAAGATCATCTTTGACAAGTACGTACAAGACATCTCTTTCTCTTTTCTGAACTGCCATGTTTTACTTAATTAGACTCCCTGTTTTATTTCCCCTGCTATCTGTCATTCTATTGGTTATCATCATTTTAAAAAATAGGTCACTATAGTGCACTGCAGATATACTATCTATCACTGTAGACTTGGAATAAGAGGATCTATCTAAGTAAGAGATTTTCCTGACTATCACAAGGATTTATTCAGAATCAATATTATCGTTCACCTCTGCCTGGGATAACTTCATATGTGCTTGTTGAACATTTAATTAAATAAACCATGGTCATAAAATGCTTCCCCTCCATTTTTCTTTGTGCCTTTTTTCAGGGCTTTTTTGTGTGTATTTGTCCTGGTATTCCCAACATTATGGGGACCAAATGTCCCCACACGTATAGTAACACCAGTAAATGTTGTCCTTTTGGGGACATTTTTGTTGGTAGCTGTGAGGAAACAAGCTTATACATCTTACACAATGATCTTTTCTAAAATAGCAGAAAGTTTGCTAACTTTATTTTAGTGGCATTGTTATACATTTCTGTAGTTACTAAACCAAATCCTCATCCACATAAGAAGTACATGTAGTTAATTATTATTACTCCATGCTTAAATGTATAATACACTATTATTGACACCTTAAAATTAAGTGTAACTGAGCGTTTTGGATGATGGGTAGGTTTAGGGATAGGATTAGTCAGTAGTGGAATGTAACAAAGTATTTAAGTAAAATACTTTGTCACTCAAATACATTTTTCATGTATACTTTACTTAAGTGGGATAAATAGTGCATACTTTACATATGTTACATTTCCAGCAATTATTTTACTTTCTACTCCACTACATTTCTACAACGTTCTGTTTTTTTCTGATCAGTTACGCCATAATTTAATCGTGTTCACATTAGGAGTATTGGGTTGAATGGGTTTGAATTAACTATTTTATTAATCATCAGATTATAGACATTAAATGAATAAATTGTTATGCAAGTACTTTTACTTTTAATACTTAAAGTACATTTAAAATCAGGTACTTTTTACTTTTTACTTAAGTATGGTTGTCATTGTGATACTTCTACGTTCACTAAAGTAAAAATGTCTGCAGTTATTTGTACTTTTACTTTAGTACTGAGATTCAGTACTTAGTGTAGCGAGATAGAATATACAGTTTGTACAGTATAACACCATGTTTATGTAATGTCCCCATAAAACATAGAAACCCAACGTGTGTGTGTGTGTGTGCGCACAGTTTGAATGTTTGCATCTTCTATGAATTGTTGTTGAGAAGGTGTTTCAGAGGTGAGGCTAGCGGGAGAGCTGATGTTTTCTACGGTCTCTGACTGTGAGTACAGAAAGCAGCAGGGATCCTGCTACAGGAAACTCAAACAACACATGCCACTTTAGAGTGAGCTGGGTTTTCAGTTTGAATGATGTAGTGTCTAGCTATAATATGCAGGAACACAAGCAAGTCGGACTGGGATGAATTTATGTAGCCTCACTTTGTGGTGAAGCTGCCATGCTTATGCATCGCACTATTCTGATCAACAGATTCCGAACGGAGGTAAACTATGATGTTCTCGAGGTACGGGACGGACGATATCCTTCTTCCCCTCTGATTGGCAGTTACCAGGGCACACAGGTCCCGCAGTTCCTCATCAGCACCTCAAACTTCATATACCTGCTCTTCACCACCGACAAGAGCCACTCTGACATCGGCTTTCGCATCCGATATGAGAGTATGATGGTCTACTATTGTATTTATTACTGTTTTGATCTGAAAAGGGCTGCGTGGCATACATTTCAGGAATTTTGGGAACACTTTTGTAATTTAAAGTCTATTATCCAGTAGTCTTTACCACACTTTGTTAAAAAACACATATGGTAGACTATCACAAAACAATTAATTGCATTGTTCAAACTAGAACATGTGATTATTGTAATTTATGTTCAAACTGTCTTACAATGCTAAGAATTTAGTCAAAGCGTGCTAGTTAGATAAAGCTTGATATTATCTTCTCCTCAATGCATTTCATGGCTGCAATTACACGGATCTGATAGCACAGATACCTGTGAATACTATCAGCTATGAAGGAATCATTATAAATAATAGCCAAATGCTCTTTACTATGCAACGGTTTTAATCAAGTCCTGTAATTATGATATAATAGGATGGTAATTATGCTGTGAGATGATTTCAGTATGGGGTTAGAATTGTACCATTGTTCCAAATAAATATATTAAGATTCACAAATCAATGTGAAGAGTTGCTTCACAAATAAACTTATTTTGCATTGATAAGTCCCCTCACACATCTGTGGATTTTGAAACACTTCTAGCATCGACAAATCCACACATAAGTGGACTCAATCAGCCAATCAGATAACGGCCACATTGAGCTGGCCACTTTCTCGCTACTACCAATCACGTTAGGGTTTATACTTGGGGCGGGAACTGATTCTTGCACCATTGAAAGGAGCAGGAATAATCTTTGAGCGCTTTGTTCAAATTGAGCTGATCTGTTTTTTTTTTGTTTTGTTTTTTTTCAAAAGATTGTTGGAGTTTAAAGGATTAGTTCACTTTTGAAAAAAACTTTTCCTGATAATTTACTCACCCCCATGTCATCCAAGATGTCCATGTCTTTCTTTCCTCAGTCGAAAAGAAATTAAGGTTTTTGATGTAAACATTCCAGGATTTTTCTCCATATAATGGGCTTACATGGGAACCAGACGGTCCAAGTCGAAAAGACAGTTAATAACAGTTTCAGATGCAGCTTCAAATGTCTTTAAACGACACCAGACGATGAATAAGGGTCTTATCATGCGAAACGATCGGTTGTTTCAAAACTTATTCCAAAAATGTAACTTTTCTAAGGACAAATGCTAGCCTTGCTCTATTCTGTGAGGCGTGTTTGTAACGTCACGTAATACGTAATTATGTCCAAAAGGTCACGGGCGACGTAGCCGGAAGTACAGAATCAAAATCGTCCGAAATCGTTGTTTTACCTTTTAATTCCTTTTTTTTTTGTAAACGGCGTTTGCACGTTCAACCTATGCGTTCAACTTGTAAACACTGACTCTGTACTTTCGGCTACGTCGCCCGTGACCTTTTGAACATAATTACGTATTACGCGACGTTACAAACGCGCCTCAGAGAATATAGCAAGGCTAGCATTTGTCCTTAGAAAACTTACATTTTTGGAATAAGTTTTGAAATAACCGATCGTTTCGCATGATAAGACCCTTATTCATCGTCTGGTGTCGTTTAAAGACATTTGAAGCTGCATCTGAAACTGTCTTGTGGACCTTGGACCGTCTGGTTCCCATGTAAGTCCATTATATGGAGAAAAATCCTGGAATGTTTTCATCAAAAACCTTAATTTCTTTTCGACTGAGGAAAGAAAGACATGGACATCTTGGATGACATGGGGGTGAGTAAATTATCAGCAAAAGTTTTTTCAAAAGTGAACTAATCCTTTAAGGCCTCTTTATATTTCCATCAGGATAAACTCAGGGAAACATGATCAACACAGATCCTGAGCAACATGATCTGTAACGCCCTCTCTACACTGGCATGAGGCGCGACACAGCGCATCAAAAGCATATAGTGCCCCATTATCTTTTCACCGCTGCCATAACTGCAGATATGAACTGTCTGCATAGTCGTACTTATATTGATTAGTGCTGGCTACTTGAAAATTCATAATTCGTGAGACTGTCTACACTGGACGTGGCGCAGCGCGACACAATGATTCATTGACAAATGATTTGCACATTCGCTTTGCCCAGTTTAGCCTCGCACAGGGTAGACACGATTGCAGAACATATGATTTCGCCTTTTAAAGCACACTCGCGGTGACAAATAGCTAAAATACATACATACAGTAAATGTCATGCAGAATACCAAATATGAGCCCAAATGGCCACTCGCGATGTAACCGTACAAGCCTCAGCGTAGTGTGTACTGGGATTGGATGCTGCAAATAAAAATCTTGCAATGCTGAAAAATACATCTATGCTTTTAGCCTACTTTATGCTGTAAATTACTTTTACCAATCAATAAATGCATTTTGCTTGTCTGCCGGGCATATTTCACTTTAAATGCATGAGATCACTTGAAATGCAACAACCTGTAACACGTTTTAAAAGAACCCACCTATATCTTCTCTACAAACAAAGGGAATCATAATACAGGTATTTCATATTTAAATAATTATAGATTGTTCATGAGGTTGAACACAGTTATTTGTTAGTCAGCTACTGTTTGTCGGTTCTAGCTTGAATAACGTGATGCTTCCATAACACGTTGTTCCCGTAAAAGAGATATAAAGCGCTTTTTTCTCTGGCTTTTTCCAAGGCTCATAAAAAATTGTGGCTTGGCCTGATACACAATCTAATGGTCTAATTCTAACAAAATCCAAATTTTAAACATATTTTGCTGTAGCAATTGTGTGGGGCTTATGTGTACACTTCCTATTTGAGCCAATGCAGATGAACGATGAATGAGCAAAGTTATTTCAGAGCAAGATCACCCTGAGTGTAAAGCCAAACGTGATTGGTTGTAGCGAGAATGTGCTACGATTGGCCAGCTCAATGTGGCCGTTATCTGATTGGCTTGAGTAAACATAGGATGGAGTCACCTTATTTGTGGATTTGTCTGCACATCGACACTAGAAGTGCTTCAAAATCCACAGATGCCTAAGGGATTTATAAATGCACAAGAAGCGATTCACAAATGTGTGCAGCAATTTACAAATGCACAGAAAGTGGTTCACAAATTAAAGCCAGGCAGAGTTGTGTTTGTAAATTAATAAAACATTTGTAAATATGTTTTTTTTAATTATTATTATTATTTGCAAATTTTATTTTATTTATTTGTGAATTTAATAGATTTTTTGTGAAACTCTTTACATTTATTTGTGAATATTAAAAATTTATTTGGAATAATACATCAATTCTAACCCCATATTTCAGTCATGCACAGACTGCACACTAGAACATGCCCATGAGACTGCTGCATTAGCTCCACCATTCAGTGTAAAATAATGGCTTTTAGGCTGGTATGACTCATGTTTATAACCTTTTCTTGTTGTTTCTCTATAAATATCAGTGTATCTTAAATTATTGAGTACATCAACTCAAACTGAGTGCTGAAGAATAATGCAACTTCTGAATGATCCGAATAAGCAGAACATAATTTTTTTAGAGGCTTATGGGCTGGCCAGTATTGATAAGCTGTTTTTTTATTTTTTTATTTATTTATTTATTTTTTTATGCAGTGGCCGATAAGATAATAATTAAATAAAAAAATATTTGTGTCTAAATAAATAAAAAATAATAATAATAAAAAAAATGTTTGGCACCACAACCTTATAACGTACAACATGAAAAATGGATTTGGAGATTTGGAAAGATTTTAAGTGTTATTAAATCATTAGTGTTTTTAAACATTAAGTGTGCTTAAATGTAAAATGCTGGAAACTACCATGCATAATTATATAATACTGGGTGATATATTTCTGATAGTTTAAAAATATTTTTTTGATTGGCCGATTATTATTATTTCTACTTTGATTCGCCCACACAAATAGTCCCAGATAAGTCAAATAGGAACACTTTAATTTGTAAATTATCAGTTAATCAATTTTCTGGCATGAAAATACACTTAAAATGAAATGAAAATGAACAGTCATACGTTGTTTTCACACATACATTTTTGTCTATTCCACTCTCAAGCCTTGCAACTCCAGTCGGACCATTGCGTTGATCCTGGAATCCCAGTCAACGGTCAGCGCCATGGCAATGATTTTTACGTGGGAGCTTTGGTGACGTTTAGTTGCGAAGCAGGATACACCCTCAGTGACCACGAGCCCCTCGAGTGTGAACCCAACTTCCAATGGAGTCGTCCCCTGCCCAGCTGTGATGGTACGGTGCACTCTTTACTAAAGGACACATTAAGGTACAGGTCATTTATTCAAGCAACGATATCGCTCCCAGACTGGAAGGGCCTTTACGGTTTGAAGCTACCCTTTCCGCTCCCTTCTCCTATTCCACTAGGCTTTGAATATTTAAGGCCATTATTGATTTTTCTCCTTGGGTGATGATAGGAATAATTCGCCTCCATATATTGATGTCCTTTGGAAGGGCACTTCCTATAACATTTGTTTTAGCAGGGTTAAGATCAGCGTTTTGACAAATAGTCTTTATCCTTTTCTCTTTTCTCTAGCACTATGTGGAGGGTTTATTCAGGGTAACAGCGGCACTATTCTGTCTCCTGGGTTTCCTGACTTCTACCCCCATAACCTCAACTGTACCTGGATGATTGAGTCTTCACATGGGAAAGGTGAGATCGCTTTTTGGTGATGGTTCTTTTTCCCAGCAGACAAACAGTTTTATAAAATGACAGTGTTGTGTACTCGAGACTCGGACTCGTTCACGAGTCAATATTTAACGGTCTATGTCTTGTCATGAACTCGTGTGCATTTTGACTCGTACTCTAACATATTAGGACTCTGACTTATTCCCGAGTCCACTCGAGTCCCATTCAACATATGTCATGATTATTGCTGTATGTTAATATTTCTTTAAATTGTTTGATTGAAACGTCCAATGATTGCTGACTTGAGACAATGACGTTTGTGGCATGCAAATGAAGCAGGACCCAGGTTAGATGTGATGTAGAGCCTCTAGCTCAACTATGTATCGAAATGTCTGCCTTTTCATCCATAATTCAGTTTGCATATTAGAGCCACACCGAATTTGTGTGCAGTAATGTTATGTGAAAGAGCACTTACTGATTGTAATAATTGTAAGTCATACTTGTAAGAAAATTACCTTTACACCACTGTGTGGCCTTTTTTACCATTACAGTGTACATGATTCCATGGTATATTTGGTTTACTGTTTGAGTATGGTGCCAATTTTATTGTTACCACCAAATATTTTACATATTCTTAACATATTCAAGCCTGGTTTCAGACCCAACCTAGGTTATCCAGCCACTCTGGTCTCGACTCGACTCTCTTTGGTCTCAGTCTCGACCCGGACTCGACTCTCTTTGGTCTCGACTCGGACTCGATTCTCTATGGTCTCGGTCTCGACCCGGACTCGACTCTCTTTGGTCTCGACTCGGACTCGATTCTCTATGGTCTCGGTCTCGACTCGGACTCCCTTTTGTCTCGGTCTCGACCCGGACTCGACTCTCTTTGGTCTCGACTCGGACTCGATTCTCTATGGTCTCGGTCTCGACTCGGACTCGACTCCCTTTGGTCTCAGTGTTGACCCGGACACGACTCTTTTTGGTCTCGACTCGGACTCGATTCTCTATGGTCTCGGTCTCGACTCTGACTCGACTCCCTTTGGTCTCGGTTTCGACCCGGACTCAACTCTCTTTGGTCTCGACTCAGACTCGATTCTCTATGATCTCGGTCTCGACTCGGACTCGACTCCCTTTGGTCTCGGTCTCGACCCGGACTCGACTCTTTTTGGCCTCGACTCGGACTCGACTCTCTTTGGTCTCGGACTCGGACTCGACTCTCTTTGGTCTCGACTCGGACTTGACTCTCTTTGGTTTTGGTCTCGACCCGGACTCTACTCTCTTTGGTCTCGACTCGGCCTCGACTCCCTTTGGTCTCGGTCTCGACTCGGACTCGACTCTCTTTGGTCTCGGTCTCGACCCGGACTCGACTCTCTTTGGTCTCAACTCGGACTCGATTCTCTATGGTCTCGGTCTCGACTCAGACTCGACTCCCTTTGATCTCGGTTTTGACCCGGACTCGACTCTCTTTGGTCTCGACTCGGACTCGATTCTCTATGGTCTCGGTCTCGACTCGGACTCGACTCTCTTTGGTCTCGGTCTCGACCCGGACTCGACTCTCTTTGGCCTCGACTCGGACTCGACTTTCTTTGGTCTCGACTCGGACTCGACTCCCTTTGGTCTCGGTCTCGACTCGGACTCAACTCTCTTTGGTCTCGACTCGGACTCGACTCTCTTTGGTCTCAGTCTCGAGCCGGACTCGACTCTCTTTGGTCTCAACTCGGACTCGATTCTCTATGGTCTCGGTCTCGACTCGGACTCGACTCCCTTTGGTCTCGGTCTCGACTCGGATTCAAGCGAGCTGGTCTCGACTACAACACTGTAAAATGATCCACGATAATATGTTTCCATGTATTTACTGAACACTCATCGTAAACGGTACAAGATTTTATAACTGTTCCACCCTCTTTTGGAAGCTGAAACCTCCTCCAAATGGTTTGTGTAATTGTAAAATTAGACGTGAACAACAGAATTGTCACCATTTCTCTTTACAAAACTGGTTCAGTTCAGTTTTATTCTTCTGATGTCAATGGCACGAATCACTCTCTCATTGGGTCATGCCAGTCCATAACTGTTCCACCCTCTTTTGGAAGCTGAAACCTTCTCCAAATGGTTTGTGTAATTGTAAAATTAGACGTGAACAACAGAATTGTCACAATTTCTCTTTACAAAACTGGTTCAGTTCAGTTTTATTCTTCTGATGTCAATGGCACGAATCACTCTCTCATTGGGTCATGCCAGTCCATTTGAGGCACTCCAGAAAGTACATTTTCTACATTCATTTTCCCATCATTGATAACAAGTGGCATCTTGACCTGAGGCATCAAAAACCATAATGGCCTAACATACTTTATTTTTGAAATATTGTTTTGTGTTCTATTCTAAACTCTGGTTTGATCTGTCCTCTGTGAAACATCCACATGTTCTTGTGGATTTCACACAAGTGGCATTGTTTCTTCTTCCATGTTCAGCATGTTCCAGATATATCTTTAAATCTCTATTATTCGTATTGCAAGAACGCCCACTCCAAGGAAGAGAAGCTGTGCCTGTCTTACCATCAACTGATAAACATCAAGGCTTTTAGAGACATTTTTCAAGCCTTTTCTAGCTTTATGCATCTCAACAATCCTTCCTCTTTGTCCTTCAGAGACCTCTTTTGTGCGAGATGCAGTTAACATTAGGGCAATGCTTATTTTGAATAGCAAACTCCAAAATTGAGCATTTCTTTCTTTCTTTCTTTTTTTTTGTGTACATAGAGGCCTAACACCTCCAATCGTATCTCATTAAATGAACAGCTTAGCTAATGCCAGCTTTTGGAGAAATCATTAACCTAGAGTTTGGCATGCTTTGTGTGTTCAGTACTGAGTTGAAAATGTATCATTATTTGTGCATTGTGTCTATTGTAATTCATTTCTAGGACTAGAAATTAAAGTAAATTCAAAGGTTTGACATGTGTTTTTATGCTACTGCATGTGGTTGAAGCCTTCATGAACTCTTAAGCCCCATTTACACTGCCAGCGACACACAGTTACAAAGCAATGTGTCAAGCTACACTAGACGTGACAAAATTTCAGAAATTTCAACTTTATGCAAATGAGTTGCAAATTTCGCGACACCAACTCAGTGCAGGCAAGAGAGGACAGAGTTATGAAGCGATTTCACCATTTTATACAATTTGACCGTAGCCACATACATAATAAAGCGATGCATGGATATGAAACAGTCGGCTGTCTTAGTGAGTTTGATTCATACATTGATAGTTTTTGTTGTTATTTATATAATGCAATGAGCAGTTTTGCTCTGCTGCAGTTCGTTTTACAGTTTTGCGTGGATTATGTTAATTATTCGGGACAAGAATTTAGTCATTTTGAACAGTATGAGTGAGTTTAATTTAACTTTTAAAGCGAATTCCTATTCAAATTAGAATGATATGTGTTGTTTGTGATTGCGTTTTCTAAGATATGGCCAGACATGCAGTCTACCAATAACATTAGAGTGACATCACTGGGAACGCCCACAAGTGTCTTCACAGTACAAAGACTAGCGGCATACAGCGACAAAGTCGCTCGTGGTCTGAATGGGGCTTTAAACAGTTGATATATGTACCTTGTGTTTGTCTCCTCTCAATGTCTGCAGGTGTTCAGTTTACCTTCCACACCTTTCACCTGGAGAGTCCACACGACCACCTATTAGTCACAGAAAATGGTAGCTTCTCTCAACCTCTGTGGAGATTGACAGGGTCTACACTTCCACCCCCTCTAAGCGCCGGACTCTTCGGCAACTACACCGCTCAGATCCGTTTCCTCTCAGACTTCTCTGTGTCCTATGAGGGCTTCAACATCACTTTCTCAGGTAGAGAGCTGTTTACAGTCGCTTAAACAACATGACATTTATAACAGAAGAAGCTACAAAATATCAATACTTCTCCTGTTGCTTTCAGAATACGATCTTGAGCCTTGCGAAGATCCCGGCGTCCCCCCCTTCAGCACTCGTAAAGGGTTGCAGTTCGGGGTGGGGGATGCATTCATCTTCTCCTGTTTTCCGGGGTACCGTCTCGAGGGGCCTGCGAGGGTGGTGTGTCTAGGGGGGCGTCGGCGGGTGTGGAGTTCCCCTCTGCCAAGGTGTGTTGGTAGGTGGTCACATGCTTTTCATTTTGCTTTGTTATGCAAATTATACAACATATTTCCTCTCCTGCTCAGAGACACACACTTATGCACAACTACACATTTCAGAGTTCTTTAAAACTTAAATGGCTAAAGCAGCCCCATTTCAGAGTTCTGCCGATTACCAAATTCACAGACTCAAGGTCAAAACAGGAACACCAACTACACATAATACATATATTGTAGGCTAGACTTCTTCAATTCTCTCTCTCTCTATATATACAGTATATATATATATATATATATATATATATATATACCCTTATATGTAATAATTATATATATATATATATATATATATATATTTATATATATATATATATATATTTTTTTTTTTTTTTTTTTTTTTTTTTTGCTTGAATAGCTTATGTCAGTGGTTCTCAAAGTGTGGGACGCAAGAATACGATAAATAAATAAATAAATAAATAAAAAAGAATAAATAAATATATAAATAAATAAATGACAGATTTTTTTTTAAAGGTTTAAAGAAGGGCGTGACGAAAAAAGGTTGAGAACCATTGGCTTAGTTGCTAAACTTAAAATGTAATTTGTTAATGTTATGATTTTGACGTTCCAGCTGAAGCAAGTAAGTAGGTATTATATAATTTCTTCTGCAATATCTGGCTTATCCTTGCTTAATATTTCTTGTGGGACTAGGTCAGCTAGTTTCTAAACAAATGTTGATGTTTATGGAATACATGACATCGATCACATACAGTATTAGTTGTCGGGCTATGTTTTTTTGTTTTTGTTTTTTGGGATGTTTAATGGTACATGCTCATTTTGCAATTACCAAATGCTCACATAAAATAATCTTTTAAAACACCATTTCAATAACACTCTTTAATGTAATCTTTAGACAATCTCAAGATAAAATCTATTTTTCAAATTGTACATTATAATGTTGTGATGACTAAATGACTTGTATTATTTAAACACTTAAGGTTAGGTTATCATGCATGATAATAAAATAACTATCGACTAAGAAAGGTATGTCTATAATTACTAAGCCTTGCATCCCTATTCAGTTGTATTTATTTGTATTCACATCTTATCAGAACAGACCTGCAAACCTGGCAGCATTTAAATTTGATTCAACTTTCATTTGTGCAGTTTAATATCCTTGCACAATTAGGTGCATACATTGATTTGCACTCATTCAGAAACACACAATAGCCCCTGTTTGCCAGCATGAGTGTATAATGCGTGTTTGTGTTTATACTGAGATCAAGGGTGATTCGTCAGACGTCATTTGACTTCTTACCTCCCTTTCTGCAGCTGAATGCGGATCGTCTGTAACCGGGAAACAAGGAGTTTTACTCTCTCCCAACTACCCTGGATATTACGGTAACAATCATGAGTGCATCTACTCCATTCAGACCCAACCCGGTAAAGGCATCCAGCTCCGAGCACGGGATTTCCGCCTGGAGGAGGATGACGTTCTTAAGGTGTTTGTGACTTATTTGCTTTTGTGCTTGTGTGTAATGTTTGTTTGTAAATTCTGCAATGACTGTATGTGTCTGTTTTATGTGTCTGTCAGGTGTATGACGGTAGCAGTACCAGTGCCCGACTGCTGGGCACCTTCACAAGCACAGAGCTGATGGATGTCACTTTAAACAGCACGTCCAGCACCATGTGGCTCGAGTTCATTAGTAATAGTGACAATACCAGCAAAGGTTTTGAGCTGCACTTCACCAGTGAGTTGCACACTGACATCTTGCAGCCATCACAGTAAAGGAATTATATATATATATATATATATATATATATATATACACACCAGAGGAGAGGTTTTAATGGACACAATCTTTTTTTCTTTTTCTTTTTTTGCAGGTTTTGAGTTGGTGAAGTGTGAGGACCCAGGTGTGCCTCAGTTTGGCTTTAAACGGGAGGATAAAGGTCACTTTGCAGGGAGCACGGTGTCATATAGCTGTGATCCTGGCTACAGTTTAAAGGGCCCGGAGGTTTTGACGTGTCTCAGAGGGGAGAGGAGAGCATGGGACAGCCCCCTCCCACTGTGTGTGGGTAAGACACTACTAAATGCTCACACTCATTCATAATATCTTCCCAAGGAAAGCTAATTATTGTGTGGATGGTTTTGAAACATAAGTGGACCATGAGTACTGCCATATCAGATGTTAGGCTCTTTAATTGATAAATACGCTACCTGTCAACAATAATATATATATATATATATATATATATATATTTATTTTTTTTATTTTTTTTTATTAAATGTATGGTTATATATTAAATTGTTAAATTGGTAATACATAATTGTAAAACACTATCTATTTTATATGTTTATTTTTCTGTAGAAGAGGTAAAAGTTCTTAATTGGGGTAAAAAAAAAAAAAAAAACAGTTTCGGAATTAAGCGATCAGCTTCCAAGTATTTCTCATCACTTCCTCTAGCTATATTAGTATTTCATCACAAACTTTAAATCTGCCACATCTGACCTTCTATGATACACTCTGAGAAATTGCTCATGAGTCATGGATATGAACCCCCAAAGCGGAGAGAGAGTTTGATTAGTTTGATTAATCTTTTTTTTTTTCTTCATGTGTGTGCATCTTCTACCACCCATCCTTAAACTTAGCCTGGGTTCTGCTCTATGTGAATTTATCCCAGACCCACTTCTGCATTGCGGTTGAATTGTGAATTATAGTGCATCCCACCTGAGCCTATGGAGACCTTTAGGCAAAATTGAAATGCCCATATAGAGAGGGGGGGAAATGGAACTGTAAAGGTATGAGCAAATATTTTTCATTCGCCACAATAGGAAACTAACTAGTGCTGTAGAAAACAGAGGGTGGACAGTGAGAAATGAGAAGTTGGTGAGAGTTAGAGTAAGAGAAAGAGGGAGGGGAGGAGATAGCAGGAGAGAATGAGAGAGCAAGAATGTAGTTTTATGACTTACGAAGCAGGTCATCCCAGGAGTTGAAGAAGATGGGTTTGTTTCATTGTGATTTATGGCGCTCCTGTCCACTATGGGAGCATTTTTCAGAAATTCATGATATATATATATATATATATATATATATATATATATATATATATAAACATAATATAAAAATCTCAACAATAAGATATTTGTGCCTCAACAAACCCTCTTTTGGTGTTTTAAACTACTGTCAGGATTTACTAAAGACACAAGCCCAAATTTAAGACAAAATTAGCGCTGAAAGGGCGTGGACAGGATTATCTGTGCGGCTGACCTTATTGCATATGCATATGTAGGAGTTTCCCTTTCAGATGCAAAATTAAGGGGAGAAAAGTATTTAAATGAATCATGCAAGGTGATTTACTAAGGTTTGCGTTTGTCAATTTACTGGTATCTGCGCCATTATTTACCGGCCAAAAAAAGCATGTGTTAAACCAGATGCTAATTTGCGCTGCTCTTGGTAGATTGTGTTGGTCAATGATTCAGCTGCATCTATGTTCTTTAATTTGTGTTTTAATGACTCATATCTGGGCTTATATATATATATATATATATATATATATATATATATATATAGTTCTCTCACGCTAATTTGCCCTATTTTGTAAATCTGGCCCTAAATAGAGTTAGATTTGAGCTTAACGCAGGAAAACAAACATATTACACACATCTTGTTTTAAGAAAGTTCAGGTTTTTGTTTGGGAAAAGACTAAAAATCTCTTCAACTTTTGTATTCAACAATTGATTTTTTTCTATGCTGCAGCAACAGAAATGATCAAAAGTGTCTATGATTATACCCTTCAGGATGTATGACAATGGCTTGAGAGGCTGAAGTGTGCATTTGAACACATTGCACTAGCATGCTTTGATATATATAGCTTACATGACTACAAACACTGGCCATCGTGTAATTTGTGTCATTTCTTGACCAAGATTCAAAGAGAAATGTGTGTAGGGGAAGTGTCTGAAGCAAATGTGTGAAGTGCCCCTCCATTGACTTGATTGTACTTTGTTCCTGTTGGAGAAATAGTAGTGTACAATTGGGCTAAAGGCACCACTTTAGTAAGAAAAATGTTTTTTACTACTCCCACAGTGTATGATTGCAGGATATATATATATATATATATATATATATATAGCTTATATATATATATATATATATATATATATATATATATAGCTTATATATATATATATATATATATATATATATATATATATATATATATATATATAGCTTATATATGTAGCTTGGTTTGTCCATCTTTGACCCAAAATTTAAAATAACCCAACATTTTTTAGAGTGCATGCAGAACATCTCTGTGTGTGGAATGCAATTTCAAACTCCCAAGTTTTCCCCCAGGATAAGACAATATCGTTTTGCAATCTTTATTTATTTCCTTTTTATTTTTTATTTTATTTATTATTATTATGGTTGTAAACTTGCCTGTTCAAACAAATTCACACATGTATGTCCATTTCGCATTAAGAATTATCCTAAAAGTAAGTGAGCCCACAGTGTATTTGAATTCACAGACTTCAATGAGTGCCAGTGTGTATGCACTTCAAATTGAATGAGAGCTCAATAATTCTAACCTTATTCTGAAGTATGTTGCTAACATATTTTGCATCTAGAAGTGTTAGCACTTCAAATATCTTCCCAGTTATAGCAGCACCATACGCTGCAGTGTGTGTTGTTACCAGTTGCAGCAAAATTAACAGTCTTTTTTATTGTTATTTAAAGACAGATGTAGTTTGTTCAGTAAACCACCATTAAATAAAAAAGTTGTTGTTTTTTTCAACGCTTTACCCCAAAATATTAAACTGTGACCTTAAAACCAAGGTACATACCGAACCACCATTTTTGTATACACCCATATGTATCTATACTCATTCTATCAGCAACTTCTCTTATCTTAAAAAAAAAATAAATAAATAAATAAAAAATAGTTTAATGGTTTTATTAAGATGTACTCCATATCCTGTCCTGTCACTGTCCAAAGGATGTGTACTGTTTGTGTATGTAAGCGTGTGAAAGGGCACACACATTTGACCTCTTGAAATGATGGCGACGATGGCAGGAGTTGGAAATAAGACTCTCGCAACTTCCTGATCCGTGAAACTGGAACTGTCACACGTACTGGGCCCAACTTCCTGACAAACAAGTGATTTGTTTCCTCACACTGCCCGCTACCACCAGCACCACCATTGCCCCAGTGCAAGATAGATAGTCATGTCTGGTGCAGGACATATTACCATCACTATCAGTGATATTAGCCAAAGGAAATATGCCCTCCCCAAGGAAGGCTCAATCCTGAAAGTGATATACAGCCACATTATTCACGTTATTCAGCTTCTCTCAGTGCTGAATGTATTCTTTCAAAGTGGAAAGTTATACGTGCCCCTCCACCTGATAATGCATTGCTCTACAGCACACCCTGTTCCATCCTTGCTCGAGGGATTTTTTAGGCTATTTCTACATTAATCCGAATACATTTGATAACTGTTTTTATTTCCAAACACTCCCCGTCCACACTGTTGTTTTTTCAAAAGTTGCTCATCCACGAGTAAAACCTAATGCAATCTCACATGATGATACCAAAGAGCAGACACAATAAAGTTATAACGTCATCCTTCTGGCACTATCACTTTATTAGCAAAATATCCCACCACTCAATGTTGCGTCCAGCTTGCACTCAAAATGGTCTGAAATGCAATTGTTAGCACGCCGCAGGACAGCAATTGCGAGTACCTTACTATTTTTTTTTTTTTTTTTTTTTGTGAGTACATTTCCATCTAGTACATCTTTGCAGGAATGCTATGAAGATTCTACAAAGGTACATTTCACTTTAGCAACACTATGAAAGTAAATAGCAGAAACAACAATGCCGGTATAACCATATATCTATGGGTAAATAAATATGCATCACATGACTAAACATGCTAGCCTGGTTAAAACCAGACCATTCTCAGTTGTAAATGAGTTATGGTTTGGCAAAGCGTCATAGATAATCATTTCCAGAGGGGCGACACCAACGGACGTTTCGTTTCGGATAGACCTAAAAGACGCACTGTAAAAAATAACCGTGATTTTAACGGTAAAATACTGTAAAAATGCTACAGTGCAAAACTGCGCAAAATTGGTAAACAGAAAGTTTCCCTACTATACACAGTAAATAACTGTGATATAATTTTTGCAGTAAAATACCGTTAAATTTACAGTTTTTGAAAGTGAAAAAGAACAAATCATTGTATAATTTACAGTGAAAAACCGTAAATTGACATTCCCACAATTCCCTGTGTGACACTTCACATTTTATGTATTTTTGTTGAAATAACTATGGTTCCTCATAGTTTTATTGTTTGTTTGTTTTTTGTTTTTGTTTTTTTCTAATCAGTTATGTTCATTAGGGTTATATGTTACATTTAATGTTGTTAAATTAATGTTTATTGCATTTTTTTATTATTATTTCATGTGTGTTACCATAATGGTGTTTAATGTTTGTGTGAATGACATTGTGCAGCTTCTTTAATTCAGTATTGCTTTATACAAGTATTCACTTGTGATGAGGTGTGATTGTTCATGTAACTCTCATCAATGCTGTGATGATTGTTGGTTGTCAGTGTATTACAATGGTCTAAAACAGATATCTATACATCAATAAGTTGGTAAATCCACATTTTATCAGAAAATAAATTACGATTTATTACTGTAAATTTTAAGTTAAGTCTGTAAAACCATTAAGGTTCCTACCGTATTTTTAACGGTAAAGTTCTGGCAACCACAGCTGCCGTTTTTTTACCGTAAAATTTACGGTTTATTTTTTACAGTGCGTATGCAGAGCGACACATCTCCGAGTGTTGTTCTTTGCTCGTTTTTTTAACAAAAAGGAAACGTTCAAAACGCTTAAAACAGACACGATAGCTGATTCGAACGAGTGATGTTCGACGGAGACATCCATTGTAATGTAGGCTACAAAATCTGCTTCAAAATCCCAGCGCTGTCGTCATCGTGTAAAGCCTCAATTTCGACAGATTGGAAATGGGCTCGAATGAGCTCTTTTCCAGACTAACTTTCAGAGCAAATCTAAATTTGCCGGAAGTTGTTTGGGTTTTCCCAGGCTATAAACATTCATCATCGTTTTTTAAATTCCTCCATTTTCACAGTCCACACTACAATGTGAAATCGATCCACTTGGTAGGATGTTTTCACAAAAAGTGTGGACCGAGGGCCAAAACGAAAAAGGAAAAGAAAAAAAAGTGTTTTCAAACGAGAATAAATTAGTGTGGACACAGCCTCTCCCTTATTTTTATTTTTTTTTTTTTGTTCTTTTTACATGTTTTTAAAGTGAGATTGCTTTAGTTGGTTTTAACTTAGAGAACATTTGATACCAAAGACCTGAATTTTTTCAGTTGACATTCAGTCACGTATAGTCCACATTGAAAATATATCTAATTCAAACCTGATAATCAATGTTATAATGTGAAATGAACAGATATTACAGTCTATTATATTATACATTTTTGCTTGTGGTTTCAGAATTGTTTTATTTATATATTTTATTTTGTAAAATATGTACTGTTTTTAGTGCTTCAGAGCTGTGAGCTGTTATTGAAGGATGGTGCTTTTGTTTATCTCTTTCTTCACTCAGCCGAGTGTGGAGGAACGATTAGAGATGAGCCCACGGGCCGGATCCTGTCTCCTGGTTACCCAGCGCCTTATGAGCACAACTTGCACTGTGTCTGGACTATTGAGGCGGCACTTGGAAGCACCATCGGGTGGGTATCTACTCTTCCATTACCCCCCTCCTCACCATCTGTCCCTTCATCACGCTGTTTCTCTTTTGATATGTTCATCTGCCTCGAAATGTAACCTCCAATCATATCTTCCATCCAATATTTTTGACCTTGAATTTCAAGCCATTAACCCATGCTGATGATTCTAATCTCTGTGAACTTCTTTAATTGAGTCATTCCGTGAAAGGAGTTTAATTTTTCACCATATTTGATGCACACACATTTACTCATCTGTCTAAATGGGAACATTCCATATACTTCTATTGTTTTTGCTATACAGCTACATACTATAAACCTAACCCACTCACAAACCCTGACAGAAAACCTTCTGGATTTTTTTTACAATGAGGATGTCCCCATAAGGAGGTGCTGTCATATTTAGCACACTTCTGGATACAACCTTGTCACTAAAATTTGGTTTAATATATTAATGTATGTATATTAACCCAGAGGTATGTATATGTATATGCATATAATCCAAAATGGTAAAAAAATACCCATTTTATCGAATGACTCAATGTGTTCATCCTGTATCCCACCACACATGCCATACTGTCTAATTGGTTTGTTGGTGTATTTGTCAGCTCTCGCCTTAGTCTCAAGCACCGATTGGCTTGCAGGCTGAGCACTAGCTCTGCGCATGCCAGTATTGTTCATCGTGCTGTCACAGTCAGCAGGACTCAGAGAAGCTAGGAGGACATTAGCACTTTGGCAGCCCTACACACTGACCTCTTCCCTTCCCCAGCAAATCGCTCCCTTTCGCACTAATGAATGAACATGCCCCCTTGTTAATTGCCACTCGTTTCGCCAGCGTAATTTTGCATGAAATCTCGCTGCTGAGCTCTGCCTAATTTGTCCGGGGCTTTAATTGTACTGTTTATCAGATACTTTCCCTGCCCTTCATCTAGATACTTTAAGAGCTCCCAGACACTATTTTCTTGCTGTGTTAAAGTGGTCCAAAATTGATATTTGATTTGGTGTTGCTGGCTAAAGGCTTTGTGAGGTGCCTTGAAGATGTGGAAAGCTCAATCAAATACTCCTTTTATCCTGTATCCTTTGTGTCCATAAATAGTTGGAAATGAGCAATGAGCCGAGTGTAATTATATCATAAGGGTTATTGAGTATCAAACGCTGGTACACCCCTCCAGACGCTCAAGCGAGACGAACAAGGCATATTTAATAATTCAGGTCACCTGTCCTTTTTTGTATAATCATATAATTTAATGCTGTCTGATGCTCAGATGTTTCCTGTTTAAACCCTGTACTTAGCCAGCGTCATGTAATAATTGCCACAAAAAACCAATGTTAGTACAGTGTTCTTAAGGAAAATGTGAAGTGGAGTGCCTGAAGCCCTTTTAACTCCTAAATATCTACAACAAATGGCCTCTTATGGATTATTTTATTTATGTTTCCTCAGTTTTATGTATGTTACCCTGCCCCTAATCCTACCCATCTCCACCCCTTGACACCTAATCCCACCCCTAATCCTACCCATCTACACCCCCTGGATCCCTAACCCTAGCCATCTCCACCCCGGATCCTTAACCCGACTCCTAATCCTACCCAACTTCACCCCCCTTATACCTAACCCCTCCCCTAATCCTACCCATCTCCACCCCCTGATACCTAACCCCACTCCTAATCCTATCCATCTCCACCCCCTGATACCTAACCCCACCCCTAATCCTACCCATCTCCACCCCGGATCCCTAATCTTACCCATCTCCACCCCCTGATAACTAACCCCATCCTAATCCTACCCATCTCCACCCCTGATACCTAACCCTACTCCTAATCCTACCCATCTCCACCCCCTGATACCTAACCCCATCCCTAATCCTACCCATCTCCACCCCTGATACCTAACCCTACTCCTAATCCTACTCATCTCCACCCCCTGATACCTAACCCCACCCCTAATCCTACCCATCTCCACCCCGGATCCCTAATCTTACCCATCTCCACCCCCGATCCCTAACCCCACTCCTAATCCTACCCTTCTCCACCCCCTGATACCCAACCCCAACCCTAATCCTTCCCATCTCCACCCCCTGATACCTAACCCCACCCCTAATCCTACCCATCTCCACCCGCGGATCCCTAACCCCACTCCTAATCCTACCCATCTCCACCCCCTGAAACCTAACCCCACCCCTAATCCTACCCATCTCCAGCCCTGATACCTAACCCTACTCCTAATCCTACCCATCTCCACCCCCTGATACCTAACCCCACCCCTAATCCTACCCATCTCCACCCCGGATCCCTAATCTTACCCATCTCCACCCCCGGATTCCTAACCCCACTCCTAATCCTACCCTTCTCCACCCCCTGATACCTAACCCCAACCCTAATCCTTCCCATCTCCACCCCCTGATACCTAACCCCACCCCTAATCCTTCCCATCTCCACCCGTGGATCCCTAACCCCACTCCTAATCCTACCCATCTCCACCCCCTGAAACCTAACCCCACCCCTAATCCTACCCATCTCCACCCCCTTATACCTAACCTTACCCCTAATCCTACCCATCTCCACCCCCGGATACCTAACCCCACCCTTAATCCTACCCATCTCCACCCCTGATACCTAACCCCACCCCTAATCCTACCCATCTCCACCCCCGTATACAGTACCTAACACCACCCCTAATCCTACCCATCTCCACCCCCAGATCCCTAACCCCACCCCTAATCCTTCCCATCTCCACCCCCTGATACCTAACCCCACCCCTAATCCTTCCCATCTCCACCCGCGGACCCCTAACCCCACTCCTAATCCTACCCATCTCCACCCCCTGAAACCTAACCCCACCCCTAATCCTACCCATCTCCACCCCCTTATACCTAACCTTACCCCTAATCCTACCCATCTCCACCCCCGGATACCTAACCCCACCTTAATCCTACCCATCTCCACCCCCTGAAACCTAACCCCACCCCTAATCCTACCCATCTCCACCCCCTCATACAGTACCTAACACCACCCCTAATCCTACCCATCTCCACCCCCTGAAACCTAACCCCACCCCTAATCCTACCCATCTCCACCCCCTCATACAGTACCTAACACCACCCCTAATCCTACCCATCTCCACCCCCAGATCCCTAACCCCACCCCTAATCCTTCCCATCTCCACCCCCGGATACCTAACCCCACCCCTAGCTAACCCTACCCATCTCCACCCCTTAAATCTGGATCCAACTCCGCCCCCTGGATCTCAGGTACTGCAATGATGTGCTACTGGAAACTTGAGATCCCTTACTTGGTACCCCTTAATAAGAAAAGCTGCATAACACCCGATGTACAGTCAGGTTTGCCTTTATTGCCTAGCAACCACATCTAGTACAATGTGAAAAAATCAGAAGTGTTCATCACCAAAATGTGTTAGCTAAGTAAACATGTCTGAGCTTGAGCATGTAAAGGAGTGTGTGAGTTATTTAAAATCGTAGTTAGTTAGTTGGAAATCATGTTCCAATACTCTGTTCCACAATCAGCAGAAATGATTTCTAAAAAGCTTGTTTGTCAACAGTAAACAGCTGTTACAGTGTGCATTTATGTGAGATGTGATGTTCATTTAAGTATATCTAGGACAACTATATGATCACATATGATTATCGCAGGTCATATAATGAGGTGTTAGAATGTGTGTGTTTATCCTCTTCCTGTATGTCTTTGCAAGTGTTATTATGAGATCCCCTTCCACAGGCACAGGATAATTAATAGATCAGGTCCCTTCCAGTCTCAGACCTAGTTCCCCAGTGTAAAGTATGCACATACTTTTCTTTGATCTCATCTTGAGCAATCAATTATTCAAGATCATTTGCAATGCAATAAGATTCAGATTATGTCCTTTGGCATATGACCAAAATCAGTATATAACTCTTATATAACAGTAGTTTTACCTCACAGAATAAATGCATAAATTGTATTATTATAAATACAATTATAATTACATATAAGTTATATATAAATACTCATAAACAACCAATAAAAACGTTAGGGTTGGTTTTTCACGTTCTTGAAACCAGTCTCAAATGCTCACCAAAGGTGAATTTATTTGATCAAAAACACTGTTATTGATAATGAACTAATAATATGCTAATAACAAAAATATTGTGTGATATAGGCCTACTTTAGTTACTTGGAAAGATATGCTAGAATGTTTCAGATATTTTATGGATAAATCACAAAACAACTGAATATGTCTGAATGTGATGTGTGTGCGTTACATTGCAGCAGCACATTAGTTTAGAACAGCACAATAAGCTGTTTAAAACGTGCATTCACCCAATCAATTTTGAGCATCTTAATGATATAGTCTTCCATTTCTTGTGGAGCACTCTCAGAGTTTGCATGTATTTGTCATTTTAATTGTTTGGAATGAAGTGTAATCTGACTTGATATCTTATCGTCTTGCCCCCAACACACTTTGTAGTGTGCGCTCTATTTTTCAGGTTGACTTATTTTGTTTTAATTCACCTTTGGCTAAGCCCCGCCCCCCTCAGTTACTGTTGCTACATCCGTCAAACTTCATCTGCACTCTGAGTGGCTTATGCTGTAACAGCTCTTCCTGCTGAAATGTTATCAAACTTTTATAAAGCAGCAAATAAAGTGTCCGATACAAGTAGGCAAATGCGTTTGAAGGCTATATTCAAGACGGTGAATGTGGCATCCAAAATAGAGGCAAAAGCATTTACCGGTCATATTAAAAAAAATGAACCACCGCATATCCTACTAATATGGAGACGGAGGCTGGGACTAACAATGTCAGGGATCAACACTGTTCATTCAAAGCTGGGTAGGTCTCTATTCACTTCTATAATCATTATAACAAAGCAAACAGACTAAACGAGTAATGTTGTATTTATTAGCAGCGTGTGCCGTGTGCTAGCGTATCAACAACCGGTATGAGAACCTAAATCATAACCTAAAACATTATAAAACGGTCTAACTAGTAACTTCACACTCACAGTAAGGTT